TGCCGCGGTTTGGATTATTATCCTCCACAAAAAACAGAAATCTTTAGACTCATACAAACACGGTGGAGACGACTATTATAAAAAGTTTTTAATATGCAATGTATATACTAGTATAAATATGGTGAATGTTCTTTAAATCTCACACTGAATTTTAAAACAGATATACTCATCCTCAACCGATTGCTAAAGTTTAATTAGCTAAGTTCACTTTTTAAATATAATATGGTTGTCAGCCTAAGCTGTCCACAGCCATGTTGTGGGTATGAAATGATTACATTTTATAATTAAATACGAAAATAATAAAAACACTTCTTATAAAGAAAATCCAACTTGGCGGACCCCATTGTGCTCACTAATAATATGGGTGTCATAGGAAATGATCTTCTGGTAAGATTAAACTATTTGGGATATAGTTGATTAAAACAAGTATTCACGGTGGCTTGTATATTGCGAATGAATGTGGTACACAGGTTCTACCTTATTATATACAATATTAATAATTATCAGATTACCTACATTACTACAAAGATAAAACAAAAATTGAATGTAAGTTTACAAAGAGAACTATTATTTAAAGTAAAACGTTCAGTTAAATCATTTTTTAAATATTTTAATCGAATTAAACAAGCCTGATTTTGTTGTATACTTTTTATCCAGATTAAAACGAGGCAAAGGTGTCGGGAGTAATTCCCCTGTACAAGCCACGAGCAATTACGTGCCAGGGGGAAATTACAGCGCTTTGCAAACGGAGGCCGGGATTAGTATTCACTGGAGTTTTTAGTATTTCTTAATTAAGCGTCCTCCTCATACTACAGTCTTTTTGTGGACGGTTCGATTCGTTAATGACAATAAAACTTTACCTCTTATTTCGGCCGTGCAGTTGTGACGATCAAACAACTTGCTCGGACGCAGCTTGAAGACTGTGTAAAGTGGATGTAATGTTTCAGTATGCGATCATACAGATCTATACCAATATAATACTATAGAGAAGTAACGTTTCTAACTTTATTTGTTTGTTTTTGGGGGATAATCTTCGGTAATAGTGATTCGATGATGAAAATTCTATCATCTACGGGACGCTACATCATACGCGGATGATATATATATAGGCTATAGATAAGCCGTAATTTATGCGGGCCAAGTCGCAGGAAAAAGGCTAGTAGTTTATATAATTGTAAGGTGAATAATATCGCGTGCTCTTTTCAATTTGCTAACCTTTCACCATAACCCTAAAACGGCAGGGGACAAATCGACTTCCGATGTGAACGGTCCACTTCCTGCTAGATGTAGGGTTGCTAACCCTTTTGTTTATTTTCGGTACCTTTACAGGTTCTTTGATCGTTGCACTAGTGACAGTTAGAAAGCAAGGAACGTCTAAAATAAAGAAATAAAAATTGAAAAGTCCTTTCGACTACATTATTTAAAATAAAATAGTATTAAGATAAAATCTAAAGATTTATGGTATCTTCCATTTGACTGATAATAGACTCTTTTTCGCGTAATAACTATTTTATTAAGATTCTATATATATTTTTATTCCAGATCCCTCGCGAGGTAAAAAAAAAAAGAATAAGCGCCACAGTTTTTACAATAATATCTTTCACAAAAAAATTTTTGTAACCCTAACTTTAATGGCATAACTTCCATATTTCCATTAACAGCCAATGGAATTAAAAGGTTTAATAAGCTAAACGTCCAGTGGAGCAGTGGCTAGTGTGTTTGGTCTGTTATTGCAGTAGTTCGCAACGGTCTGTCATAGGATAGGTAATCAAAAATTTGCCCTTACTGCATCAGTAGTTATTAACACCCACCAATCCACAATGAACCTTTTTGTTCTTTTATAACCCTATCTGCTGTCAAATGGCGTTAATTTCGATTTGTGAATTGGCGATTCTTCTCACTGCGCTAGCCAAAGAGCCAAAATTCTCTGTTCGTGTAAATAATTTACACCCGTTAGATTTTATTATTTTATTCTGTAAACCACAAATATATATTAAGTTTGTATTGACACCCCATGTGCTATAGTTGGCCTATGTCAGGGGTCGGCCACCTTAATTTCACAAGGTGTTTTAGTCATTCACAAAATTTCACGGTTTCCAAGGAGCCAACGAAAGATTAAGTTTAAATATTATTTAAATTTCTATTTGAGGTTTTATTTATATAATAATATCTATATCTCATTCAAAGTCAGTCATATTATGGATACTGTACTATAAAGCGATCGTACATGATTTAAAGGATTTCGACAGTGAAATATTTTTTGGGAATGGAACTTTACATCGACGGAGACGCATCTTACTAACCCCTGGCCTGTGTGAATAAAAATAGTAGACAACATGACATACATTGTTCAGATTCCAAGATGAATAGCTATATTAGTATCTGAGAATGCCAAAGTACCATAATACCCAGACCCGAAACAATATAAAAAGGTCAATTGTCTACATTGACCCATCTGGGATTAGAACCCGAGATCTCAAGAGAACCTCAATAGAACCAGATACCTGTAACCAGTGACGAACCAGTTTCTCATCAACTCATCTCTGTAAATGACATATGTATGTAAATATATAGACTTTCAATGTTTAATAGTCCAACTGTGTACATCGCTTCTTTGAAAGCATCCGTTACCAGTGATCGATAACCGTCGAGCTCATCACTATTTGTGATGTACAAAACTATTTACTCTGTGTAAGTCTGTGCCTGTCGGTTGTTTGTCGGTTTATTTCAAACGGAATTTATATGTCGCATTCAAAAATTCGATTTTCTGTGTTATGTGAGAATATGAGAGCGATGGATTTACAAATGTAAATATCAATATTTGAAATGTAAGCTTCACTTTGTTGATAGGAATCATGAAATGTTTGTTCGTTAGTTGCCTTATTCAAAAATATCAAACGCGTATCAAATTTTTTTAGCAATCAATAATAATGATAACAGCGATACATTCAGTTGTAATGCCACATGACGTCAGACCTTTGTAGATTTTCTACGTAGTTGTGATGTAGTAAGCTCCCACTTCTCAACTTTAACGCCTTTAAATCTAAGTCATTTCATGGTTACTTGAAGAAATACATATCTAATATTTATGTAACTGGCGGACTAAACAGTGTTGTGATTTGTTAATAATTGAAATATAATATAAAAGATATAATATTTAAATATGTATCTTTATGAAGTTACTTTAAATATGTTACCTTGTACTTGTCTTTTTATTGAACGATCAATATACTTATAACTGATATATCCTTACTTGCAATATTGTAATTATAAAATATGGTTTTTAATTAAACAAATTAATTTATTCACAAAACAGAACTGTTTACATGGAATGTCAATTAATAAGTTGCTTTGTTAATCAAAAATAAAATAAAGTCACGTGTCCGGAAACGGATGTTGTAGTAACTTAATAAGAAAAGCTGATTTGACTAGTTCTACTGTAAGGTGGTTGCGAGTTCTTCGGGCACAGGGGTGGGACGTCGACGCTTTTTCGATCAACGATACGAGATAATATATCGTTTACCGTCAAGTAGTTGATAAAGCTATTTTCTTTTTCGACTAGTTTATGTCGTAGACGGACTGAACGGAACAAGAAATTGTGTCGAAGTAATTAGTGAAGTTGACGTAGTTCATGAAACGGTTTTCAGAATAAACTGTTTAGAGAACTTTGTTGTCATCGACCCGACCACAACAAAACGGTTCAGTACATTAGAAGACGGTGAAAATGAACTTCCTTTTATACTTTTTTCATGCTAATTATTATTAAAGCTCAGAATTGTTTAATTACAAATAACTACTTTCGAAATTGAGACAGTTATTTGCCTTTATACACCAAATTATTCAAATTATAAAGTAGGATGCTAATTGCGTAATAATTTGACCTTGACCTACGCCATCGCATTAGAATCAAAACTTGATTTGTCATTTTAATTACAAAGTTTATATGTGAATTTATATCAGGAAAGTAATTAACTAGCAAATGTATATCTGTCCGTTTAAATTTATTTTTAAAATATTTTAACGTAATCAAGCGAGCGAGACAAATATCGCGCTATCGTTCGCGAGGAACAGAGGGAAACAGGCGTATTCAGTCACCTCGCAGACCGTTCGTGCCTCATTTGGACTGTTCAAGTAACGGTTGCAACTTACGTTCACGCATAAACCAGTTTGACCGTAAACTAGTCAGTTGATACCCAATTAACAGTCTAAAAAAAACGGTTCGTTTAACAGTATAATTAAAAGCTAACGCTTAAGGAGAATTATTATTCAAGATGCTGTGGCGTTAAGATGTGTATCCGAAGAAGTAACATTCTTCGGGATACATATCTTTAGTGTGTAGTTTAATAACCAAACTTTTCACTATTTAAAACGCCGACAGTCTTAATTTAACCGTCATTTAATATACACTAACTATTTCATATACAATCACTATTTGGTATGCTGTACTGGCAACTAGTCAATGTTTAAAATGACTACCTGGCAAATAGGCTTGTGTCCTACAAGTGAAAATACGGGTTTTTGTTATATCTTCGACAAATATGAACCATTTTAACTTATAAATGTTTAACAAAACAAATTTTAAGTCAATGATTTGGAAAATATTATGCTTTGAAAACTTGAAAAAAGTAGAAAAATCTACTACATAAATTTGCTAAAATACATAAGGCATTAAATTAGATATAAAAAATGTTACAACTTTCATTATTACAGCTATAAACATAAACGCACAAATAACAAAGATATTACGAAAAATGTCCAGACGGCCATACATTTTTCGCTACTGTAGCACCGTGTGACGTCACTGAGTGCCTTGAATTTGTAGGGAGCGTTTTCGGCCAACTAGCAGCAGTTCTACAAACACAGCAACGTATCTCCGAAACTATTAATCGCAGACATGCTGTTACTTCTACATTATTTCTCAAATGTTAATGTCCATTAATTTATTTATTTAGGAAATAAAAAAAAAGTTGGCAACTAGCCTATTATTATTAGAACAGATAGACAGACAGCTGCAACACCTGATCGTCACATATATACTGATATCATTTAAATTATTTAAGTATTTTTAAATAACGTCAATATAAATTGTCCCTATTTGAGAAACTATCAACTTGTCTCTATATGAATCGTCTGATTTATAACGTATCATATTTTATAACGTATTTGTTTGCAGAAAAATGGATTATAACGTATTTTTTTGCAGAAAAGTATTTATAGAATGTGACTTTCTTGTTGACAGACGAGGAGTTGGTGTTCAGAGACCGTTGGGGGGGGCTGACGCTGTTCAACGTCCGCAACTTCACCACCAGGCTGCTGATGAGCAACTCCACCTTCGTGAGTACCAAAGACTTCATAAGTTTTTTAGTTTTAGAAAACTAATTGCGACAGGTTTTTTTAGCAATAGGGTTTCAAGTTATTTTTTTACTTTTTAGTGGTCTCATAAAGTTATTTAATCGTTTTCTTCTGAGCAAAACCTTTCATTTGCGTTTGCTAAGAAAAATACAATTGAAAATTGATTTCAGTCTAAATTCAACATGGTGGACTACACAAAATGGCGGACCAGTTATGTTGTAAGCACTCTTATAATATGATCGATTAACATATATTTAGTTACTTGATATGACTTGTGATTATATATGATACATCTAATTATAATATAATTATATTAAGAGATGTATCGAATATATCGTTTGGGATAACATCTGTTGCCGAGCTAGATCTAAGCTTGCAAGTACGATATAAGGCTCCAAAAACTATATTATTTGAACATTTCATTAACAGAAACAATTACGACGAGGTACAGTATTACTTTTATGAGTAAAATAAAGAAGTCTTGTGGGCGTGTATATAAATATATGTGTATATAAGTTTAGAGAATCAGAGATATTAGTTAGAATCACAAACATTTTATAGTAATTTCATTTATAAAGTCATTGTAATTTCATTGTAAAAAGGGTTATTTTTTTCTTTCGTGACACAAAACCGCAAATATGCATGTTAATATCAAATACGAATTACCAACGTATAAACTATAGCCAAAGCTACATAGCTAAACATATATATATGAAAAAAGGTCAAGTAGGTACTTGATTAGCAGTCTATTTTGTAAAATGTTCAACGTTGACTTGAACTCGCCGTCGAGCTCAACGATGTCATAGCATAGGGGTTCGATTTAATAAAACCTTCTTTAAATGTATTTTTTATAACAGAATAGCACAGCAGAGAGGATGGTGAATGTTCATACATTTTTGGAAATAACTTCAAAAGATAAATATACTTATCTTGAATTTATAAAAACCACAACTGTATTGGTCTAGTAGTTTCTGACCCAATTATTTGATACAAACAGACAGACAGACGACTGAGTAATCCTATTCATCGCGACTTATTTGGCTTGTGAAAGTTTTTAAAGCCGTCAACCAATAGTTGGTCGTAGCATTTTATTCCATTTCGTCATCGTTCTGTCCTATCTTAATAATACTAACGGAATGTAAAAATGCCGCTTGTAACTGGATCTAGTCCACTCGTTCAGTGAATTCAATCTCGCATTCCACCATATATTTATCGTAGTGTACTAGTTGGCCGCACTGATTGTTATTCGCGTCTCGTACCAGCCTGTTGTCACTTGTCACTGTCACTGCTCCGACATACGCCGGTGCTCTGCTGCGTACATCACAGGTGGTACGTGCTTTTCGCATCAATGCTGCGACTGGTTAACAGTTTTGTTAGAGCCGTTACTGAGGACTTACATGACATGTGCCTATTTGCCCTCGAATGAGAATTCAGAAAATTTCAAATTGTTTTTATCATTTTGTTAGAATCAGCGACACGAAACAACATGCCAATCAATGAGATAAATAGATATATAGGTACTATCAGGTGTGTGCGGAACAACCGTTAAAGATTATTTTTAATTATGTAGGTACTTTCAAACTATTATTAAACAATTTATTATAAAATTATTCAATCCAAACCGTCGGTAACAAAATAATTGATATATTTTATCCCTTGTCAAAAAATTATACTTTCAAGTATTAATTGATGAAATGGTAAAAATTATAAAGGTTTTATTAATTGAAGCTTTGCGCTGTCATACAGTAAAGTATTTTTTATTTCCAAGCATAGTATAAAAGTATATAGAATGCAATTTTCTACCTTTTAAATTCTCTTTTACTTGGAACTCATTGCAAATGCCTTTATGCAATATTTTGGAAGATAGGTTTTTTATAAATTACTTGTGTAACTTTTGATAATAAGCTTATTTTGAAAGATTATATGTTTTCTACTTAGAGATAACTATAAGCATCATACAGTCAATAGAGTGGTTGAATGTGAACTATATTATATTTCACTTTCCTGTTTACGACGAGATCAGTAACTCTGTATTATCTCGCTTACACATACGCGTAACTAACGTTGTAATCGCAATCATTACTGGTGCCAATTCTATTACCATCTCATAACACTACATTGCATTAATTTCAAATTGTGTTTGCTCAAAAAAGCTATTCTGTTATGACTATCTATCTATAGATGATGATATATGAGATATTCACAGTTATGACTACTAATTTAATTATTAAAATACTAATATCCGCATTATAATAATAATAAGTTTAGTTAATAAATTGCATTTGAAATGATCAAAACTAAATTTGATTGTGTTTGTGCAACAGAACTGCTACCATTGACACATCACGGTTATTTAGCATGCATTCGTTTTCTAAATTATATTTTATGTATATAAAAGTTCGTATTTGTATTATTTTCCATTATTGTAGTGTAATATTAACTATATATTTGTATTTTTTTTAAATTTCCACCTAATTTATGAATCAAGTATTTTTCTGAATATTTTCCAATATTTTGTGATACTAAAAAGAGTTGAATTGAAGTTAATTTTAATAAAAACAAAACAAAAAACATTACGCGTCGGTGTAATAGACGTTCAAAAAGTAATAGTCCGTAAGATAAACGCTCAAGGAAGATACTTGGATGTATTTGCACTGACACATTTATAGTTTGTTTACGTACAATGTTTGAAAATGCGCCAAATTAACTGGTGCGAATTAAACTTAAACTGCATAAAATACGGAAACAGTTTTAAGGCGAAGATATAAAACTTCTGTGGGTTTCAAAATTTGAAAATTACATATGTTTATTCACTTCAAATTTGTGGATAATTTTCTAGAAATTTCCCTCATAATATTCCAACACAAAGCCCGCCCACTAGGCCTGGTAGGCTCTCTCGATAGCAACGGTGACATCCTTAAACCCCTGGATATAGCAAAATCCGATTACCTACATCTTTGCATAAAGGATCGCTTCTGTCGAACATTGTATGTATGTACAGACGTTCATACATGCAAGGGTTGAGGAGAGGGTTACATAAATAAATACAAGATCAATCAACACACGTTTACATTACTTTAAAAGTCGTGCAATCATTTCTTAATTTAGTTTCAGTTGATGGGACAAGATTTAGTAATCGAATATCGCAGGCCCTGCGATAATACAAATTCTCTAGTTTCGGGGTCAGAGATCTATAACTTAAAACAATATGTATAAAACCTAAATTAAGTATTTGCTTTGTACTTAATAAATAACACCTGTCTGTAAAATTTTGGGTTTTTGAGTAAATAAATAAATTATAATTATCATTAATTATCATTAATATAGATATATTGACACAACTTAGTTCTGATGACAATAGGTACACCAATAAGCATATGTGGGTTCTTTACTATCGCTATCAAAGATAATTTAAATACATAATTCCACTTTTTTCAATCAAAAATATAATACAAGAACTAATTAAATATTTCAACAATTAACTGAAATAACCACATTTACATCATAAATAAATGACCAACAACTCACCGTTCACGCACATCCCGCTGCCACCTGGCTAACCATTACTTTGAGACACATGTTTCATCACATAAGGACTAGAATCTAACTAACTATAACGTTTATTTTTCATTCTCAATGCTATATTGATATTTATCTTAAAGAAAAATGCTTAAAAATACACCATTCCCAATTGTATGTACACTAGATTGGATTCAAATCTATAACCATTGGCAATTTGGGCGATTTCGCAACCTAGGCACATTTCTAAGCGTTTTTTTTTAAGTTTAGTGTTTTTATAAGTTCATGCATTACATGCATATATTCAATAAAGGTTTTCTCTGAGAACCATCATTACACTTCTTAAAGTAAGTTTTACTCCAAATGTGTATAAAAGTATTATGTTACCAATTTTATATAATAAAAACGTTCAAAGTTTTTCGCGTCGGTAATGAGGGTGCTATATATCTAATATTTCACGTCCCACCCATTTGTCGGCTCCTACAGCCGGCAAATGGAATATATTGAATTCTTTTTTGTTAGATTAAAAGAAGACAAATTCACACATTTACAGCAGAGAATGTAAACAACATAATGTCAGTTAGACTAGTATGATAGCAAGGCTACCTTACGATAGGCGCAACGGGGCCATGGTCCAGGGTGGCAGATTGCGAGGTACACGACACATATACATTTCTTTCACTATCCTAAATCTGAAAATAATAATAATATGAGAATAATATTCTCAGCTCAATTTTACTTAAATGAACAAAATATTTTACATTATTTTTTTTTAATTTAAAGCGGCAAAATTAGTTGACCGGAACGGCAATAGGCATTGATATTAATTTTAAACAATACTAATATAAGGCAACATCAAACAACACCCAGACCTGAGACAGATCAGACATGGCTAATTCTACTTATTCGATTCGATGGAATAGGAAAGGATTGTATGTGGCCCATCTGTGGGGACTTAATAAGCTGGTATATTTTAGAAAAATACTGATCCTAATTTCTGCGCAAACTGAATTTTCAATTCTTGAATATAATTTGTTGATATATATTGGCCTTACAATCAATTGTATAAACGACTATTAAAATTATCATTGGTTTAAAGTGACATTACCGATGCAAATTTCACATTCATTAGAGCTTAAAAGCGTCATTAAATATTATATTTATTTGATTATAGACTAAAGAATACCAAATTAAACTTATTTTTTTGGTCAAAGAGTGTTACAGCAGAATTAATAGATCCAATATTACTGAATATAACTTACACTGTGTCTCTAAGTGAAAATTTATTCGTCATAGCAACATATTTTTATCTGGAGGGAACGCTTACGCCAATGTTTTCCATACTTATACCGGATCTCGGGCAATTTCACGACATTTCGAAATTCTCTGTTTCGCATGAGGACCGTTATCTGATTTGTTATGTTTATATCCTCCCGCCTGAGACTGTACTGTGTCATCACCTGTGTGATGAATATTTTTTAAGGTTATTTATTTTAAAACTCACGTGTATTTATAATTTACAAATAATTTTAAATTACAAATAAACTGTAAATTAAAAGATAACTATTTCACGACTTTGAGTAAAACGGTATTCACCGTTTTTCTGTTATAAATACTTATAGCAATATTTTCTCGATATTAAAATTTAAAGTTACCCATAAACCTTAGGGTCGGTGCAAATCTGACGGAAAATCGGAAGTACGCGTTAGTATGCGTCAAATCGTGTAAGCGTGCAAGGTAGAATGTCAAACAACCAAAGACATTCCACAACCAAAGAAACTCAACTCATCTACTGTCTGATATGCACCCGCCCTAAGTCATTTCTTTCCGAAATCCGTAAATGTGAAAAAAGAACTGACGCTCTATTAAATAGAAAACCGGAATTAAAATTATTATTTTTTAGTTTCATTAAGAAAGTAGCACATTAGAATTGCCACCAATATTTTAAAGAACAGTCCAGAGTACGCCGAGTATATAAATCTACACTTTATTTAAAACCAGAAAGTGAAGATTGCCATGCTACCATCACTATATTAAAGTGGAGATTTTGTGATAGTAGAGTTCAATACTGTACTAACTTAACGTATATGTACCTACTGAAAGGACTAAATAAACTTCCTAATCTGTTTTTCCTCGCTTCAACTTTTTTATGAATAATCACAATTTCATTTGAAGTTTAATTTATTCATATAATGCGAAAATTGGTAATGAAAATTGCACACAAAGCGAGCGGCCGTGCGTGCGATGTATACAGCCAATAGGGGTGCCATTGTTATCTTGTGTCCTTTATTACAATATTTCTAGCTCAATCATTGTTCTGCGTGAAGAGAAAGTGATATTATATGTTCAATAAAGATATGAAAATGGATTTCACTAAGTATTCTAGCCTAATGCTGTAAAAATAAACGTAGACAAAGATTAATACGACTTTAAATTCTGGTTCGCTATTTTGCGCCATTACTACCACGCTAGGGATAGATCGAATGGTCTTCTTGGGTCGTAGGCCGTCATTATGTTTTTATGAACTGGTACTCTAAGAAAAGAGCCTTGTTGGTGCAGGTATGCCCATCTGTAGGTAGACCACGTCACGCTACTGCTAATATCAAATTTATTCCTTTCCAGAGAGAGCTGAATGCTGTCGACTTCAAGGTGTCGGCGGACATGAAGTTTGTCCTCCTTATATCTGACGTCAGGCCAGGCTGGAGGCACGCGCGCCTTGCGAGATACCACGTCTATGACGTCATCAACAGGTGAACCAACTTATGTCATTGCACAGTACAAATTAAAGTTGCTAGTAGGCTCTTTGTAAACCACGCAGCAGATTTAGATGTTGACGAATCATAACTGTTGGGAAAGTTCAGCTACTATCACAATATCGGGGCGGTCATAGAATAAATGAACAAAATATGTTACATCGAACTCCTGCGTGCCTCAGGATGCTTCAGGGTCCATTCTCCCTATTTGATTTCATCCATAGGAAAGGTCTATGCCCGAGCATTTGGAACATTAATAGGCTGATGAACAGGTTCAACTCTGTTGGGTAGGAAATTTCTTGAGGAAGAAAACCGTGTTTTCCAATTTTTTATGAAAAATATAAACTTGAACCAGACAATTGAGACGAAACCAGTGGACTTTCTTAAAGATTATCACTTAACTTTAAATTTGTAGATATATAGTTCCACGAAAACTATCAGATAATAAGATCTTTACAATTAAATCAAAGCGTCATTAAGGTAACTAGATCTTTACACATTCGTTAATTCTCAGGAACAAAATCCCCATATCTCCTGTGGAGGATGACCGGTCAGCTCCCCTGCTGCAGTACGCGGAGTGGTCCCCCACGGGCTCAAGTCTGGTATTCGTACACGACAACGACATATATTACAAACCCAGAGTCCTCAAGACACTCGTCTGCAGGATCACTAATACTGGTAACAATTACGATTTTTTACCATCCCTTTAATAGATTAATAAAATAGAACTAATTATAAAACTCTTACAACACTCATATAGAACTTCTATGTTATTATTTTAGGCACAAAAATAAACGGAAATAATATAGCCTTATATTTTTCCCATAAGTATCTCCAACAATATTCATTATTGATATTGAAAGCAGTTTAAACAATAATCATTATTAATTTGCTTATCGTTCCTTCAGGACGTTTTGTGACTGAGCTATGAGCTTTATACAATGGCATCGGAAGTTATATGACTTATGATATTTATTACCCTATCAGTGATAATATTAGCAAATGTAGTAATTTTAGCAAACATGTAGGAGTTAAAATGCGCATGCCCCAAAAACAAGTCTCTTGTACAAAAGCACTAATGCAAAATGGATGTTAAATTGTATCCAACTTATATCGTTTTATAACCTTTAATATAACAGTTTCTTAAGACTGTTCTTGACACTAAAATATCCAAAATATGTGCAAACGTACTAATAAAATCTTTATCTTAAATTTCGCAGGTATTCCAGGTGTAATTTTCAATGGGGTACCAGACTTCCTCTACGAGACTGAAGTCCTCCGCCTGGACCGAGCCCTGTGGTTCAGTCCCGACGGTCAGACGCTCATGTTCGTTACATATAACGACAGCATGGTGCAGCAACACAAGTACCCCTGGTATGGGCTCGATCAGCCTGAACCGCCAGCCTATCCCTCTATACGAACTCTGAGGTATCCCAAGGTAGGAAAATATTATAAATATACTAATAATAATATAATATTTAACATTAGATCTTTGTGGGAGAGACGAATGCGCTGAATTCTAAATCCTATGTAATTCATATTGAAATAGGAACTCTGCAATTTCTCCTGATATATCATCACGTATCATCATCCAAGTATGTTATGATCACCCTTAATGTAAGAAACACAGGAAGAACTTGCATTTCACCACACGGACCCAGTGAAAATGTAAATGGATCCGGGACCGAAAGCTCAAGTGTCTTCCAAACAACAATGAACAAACCCGGAATAATGAACTTTGGCCATGTATCTGATAACCAGTTATTGTGAAAATTGCTCAAAATCTACAATCGCTGAGCTTGTGACGGGATCGTTGCTTAGGCGAATTAATGAAAGGCTGACTAAACTTGGGAATTGATTTATTTTATGGTAAATAAGTAAAGGTTAAAGAAAAAACTGTAATAAACAAAAAATGAATATAAAAATAGTTCGTAAGTTACCTAAATATAAAATTACAATTCCTAAATAGAACAAATACATACCCCTTTTTGGGGTTGCCGTGATACGTAAATTTGGACAATATTTCAATATATAATTTTATTTTAAAAATTATATAATTTATATTATTTTATATTTAAATTTATACGATTTACAATAACATGTTCACAACAGACGATTTACGATCTGACATTCAAATTTACAGAATTTCAAATTACGAAAGACAAGTTTGCATGCGGAAATAAACGGTGGTACGGCGCACCGTTACAAGCTAACAACCCAACCTACAAGAGCTTGATCGAGCCAAGCATCTACTAACACAATCTAAAATCCTACATTTATGAGAGTGACGTTTATTTGCCAATTAAATTTAATTAAATTTAAATTTAATTTAATTTATTGTATATATGTCCTGGGCCAATCTTTGAATTGAACCGATCGAGATCTGCCCGGACATACCATGATATGCCGCCATTTCTTGATATGGTCAGAAAAATCACTGTCACCTCTGTTACAAGTTTGGCAGATCGATAAGAGCAACGTATTTTAAGATTTTTATTGTTTTAATAAATGATTATTATCATTTGCTTTCATACACAGATGTAGTAGAAATCCGAGGTTTTTTCCCATCTCTGACTACATATTACTTTGGTCATCCTACAAACATTGAACGATATGGCGGATGATAGATAGATAGTCAAATCAAGAAATGGCAGCATATCGTGATATGCCTGGACAAATCTCGATCGGCCCAATTTAATGATTGGCCCACGACATATATATGTATATCAGTCGTATAAAATTGGCATTGAACTGATTGTATCAAGTTCAGACGTTGACCTTATATCAATGTATCTATGATGTAGGTATAATGAATGATTGCTGAAAACCATAACACGATCAAAAAAAATTACATCAGTATCCTAACAATAATATGGTGGCAGCACGTTTAGACAACATTAGATCTTAAAATCAACTTGTGCTACAGAAACACTGGCTTTCAATCAACACCTCAAACAATCTAATAACTGCCCAACATCGGTTCATGTTGAAACAATGTATGATGACTTACATACATTGTCACTTTTCTCCTTCTCCGCATAAGAAAACTACTTATTTTACGCTTCATTAAAACAGAACCTTATGCCTGACGTTTCTAATTCTAGGTGAACACAAATAATCCAGTGGTCACAATATACGTGGTGAGCCTGAAAACGCCCAAGTTTTTGTTTCCACACGCGTTACAATTCAGTTCACAGGTGGACAAATGTAAGTAATCTAACCAACTCACCTCCTCTATAGGTAGCCTAGCTAATAATGCCAGAGAACAGAAACATATTGAGTTTGCATGTTTCACTTCCGTGCACCACTGTGGACTATTGTAATTGAATTCATTGTTAAAGATTCTTAAGGATATTCCATGTTTGCAATGCTTTTAATTACGTCTAAGAATACTTAGTAGAGGGCGCAACATGTGCAGTTTTATTGTGTACGTAAGTTTAACTAAAATTGATGACAGCACACTAGCACATTGTATATTTATTTGCGTGTGATGCTCAAAGCTCTAAGATAGCAACTGACTGTGGAGGTTCCTTGGAAGACTGATCTTACTGAACGTTCGTGTAACCTTTCCACGACCATTACGAAATTAATAAATTATGTAAATCATTACAGCGTGGTATGTGCGGTGGAGTGGCTGGATGTCCGAGAAGCAGGTAGCCGTTCTGCTGCTGAACCGGCCTCAGAACTATTCCATCATCAGCATCTGCAGCGCGGTTCAGTATAACTGTCAAGATGTGAGTTCACCGAGACTAGAAGCAATAATCTTAGAAATTGATTAATTTAGATTTTAATAGATCACAGCACGTTTTGGATACGCTCAATTATTTAATATAATAGATATCGTTTTGGTTTATAAACTACTAAAAATATAATGTTATTTCGTAAGACTTTAAGAACTAAGTGAATTTTTGTAAAAAATATTTTTTTCGGCTTTTTGGGTAGATTGCCTGAACATTGATGGAAATACGCTCTGTAGTAGCGAAAAACTAACAAATGCTTGAAAAATTCGTCAGTCCTAATAGGTCTGGGTAGTTCAGTGGTTATAGCAGTTGCCCGGATTGCGAAAGGGTTCGAGTCGCATCTCAGATTTCCATCACAAAGTGGATTTTTTAAGCATTTTTCGTTAAGTTTAATCGTATGTATCGCAAATATACTTATATCCTAATCCATACTTTGAAAGTGTTATTAGACTTTTTTCTAAATAATCTGTCAACAAATTTTTATCCAAATTAAAAAGCCACGGTGTTTAAGTTGACGTGATGTGTGGGTGTAGATATATCGCGATGAGACTGACGGCACGCGGTGGTCGGGGCTCGGGGCGGAGCCCGACGACGAGCAGTGCGGCTGGTGCGGCGCCGCCGCCCTCCTCGCCTCCAGGTCGGACACTGAACGCCTTCACGCACTCTGACGTGGGGCTTATCTTACACCAATAGAATCCGTTGAGACATGGGATTGACCCTAGACTTAGGGCAAACTTTAAAAGTATTACTAATTGTTGTGATGGCACTATGAAAAGAATTCTATTCAAGTTCAAAACAAGTATATGGTTTTTATAGATGCAATTTCTGAAAACACAATATACTTTACTCAAATCGCGAGTACATAACGCTCTTGTGATTCAGAAATCCAACACAACAAAGATACCGTTCAAACCTGAAACAAAATTAAGCCCATTTACCATATTAACTTAAATGGGGATCGAAATCACAGAACAACAAACACGAAACCAAATGCCAGCCCCATAACCACGGATGCTAAAATATTACGTGTATTAATTAATTTTATCAAATTAACTAATTGATGATTCAACCTCTTTTATGAATATACAACAAAATGCGTATACATTTTTTTTATTACAAATGTATCACACAGAACAGTCATAAAAACTTTTTAGTTGCATTTTATGAGACGACCAGTTAAAGTTCTCAATTGACATTCCCTTGTCGCGCCGGCGCCGCCAGGGACGGCGTGTTCACATCGATGCCGGTGGCGGACGCGGGCGGCACGTGGCGGCACGCGGTGCGCCTCACCGCCGACTCGCGCTCCACACTCACGCAGGGCAACTTCGAGATCACCTCGCTGCTCGCCTGGGACGATAGGAGAAAATTTCTGTAAGCGAACAGATTCTCTGCTATGTCCCGTTCTATCTATATTAGACAAACGCACCGACCGGCATATGAATTATAATAAAATCCGGATGTATGGAACACATTCAGTTTATACGAAAACTTAATTAATCATCAAACCACATGAGTACTGTTTGGACACTGAATTGTAAATTTAGGTTACAGAGCGTTGAACTTGAAATATTGAACAAACTATAGTGTGATGTGTTGATTGATATGATACGGTTCCGTGGGAGCAGATACGTGATGGGCACGGGCATGGAGTGGGGCGGCGCGGGGTCGCGGCACCTGTACCGCGTGTCGGTGCCGGGCGACCCCGCCGCGTGGCCCGCGCCCCCCGCCTGCCTCACCTGCCCCCGCGCCGCCGCCCCCGACGGCCCCGACGCCACCGACGCCCCGCCCGACATGGTACATCTACAACACATCTTATAGCCAACCGGCTCCCGAGGAGCTCGTCGACTGCCAATCCGGCATCCGCCATTTGTATAAAGCCTTAGCTGGGCGACCGTTCAGTGTGTATTAATTTATTTAAAATGATATATAATCTAAAATTTCTAGTTAACATTGTTTTGCTATTTCGGATAATGTCTTATTTTTTTAGATTAAGTAGATTTGCTGTGTAATATTAATAGTATTCTTTTGCCTGGCTCACTACGGCAGGAGGACGAGAACTCGACTTCCTCGTTACCGTGGTGGCCGACGTCGACGGTGCTGCCACATGTATCAGACGAGAACGACTCGTTGCCCACCGAGTGCCTCTACAATAGAATTATGTTCAGCAAAAACTACTCATATTACGTGCAGGTGAGAAACTTTCCGGGGGAAAATTCTCCGAATTATCTGGACACTACGAGCGCCTGCAATAGGCGCCGGGTACAAGATGGGTGACCAAAAAAATAAAAATACGTCGAGATGTCAACCAGGGCTGCGTCCGCGGGCCACTTACTCTCAGAGATCATCGTTTTCCCTAGTCGATTTCTTGTAACATCTTGAATTGTCCATAATACGAGTGGTCCATAATGCGCAGGAGTGCCTGGGCCCGGGCGCGCCGGCCGCGTGGGTGCGCGCGCGCGGGGGGGGGCGGCGCGCGCTGCTGCAGGACGGCGCCGCCGCCAGGGACCACTTCGCCGCGCTCGCGCAGCCGCAGTACAAGGTCTTCCGGGTAGAGGTACTTTATCTTTTTCTGCACTCTTCACGAAACTAAAACTTATTATGATTCAACTTTATGTTTTACAAGTGTCGGTGGAGCGAATGATCGAAATGTACCCTGTTGATGCGTGATGCGTGATCTCGTTTAGAGAAATAAACACCTATGCAAACAGATAGAGGGCGTTTAATAAATTATCACTCGGTCTATTTGCAGAACATATTTATAAGCGCTCAGTTCCAGAACTTTTTTCTTCATTGCATTCGTCAGCTTTCATGGTTCTGATGTGACCGATTTGTTGTTGTTGATACGCCGGCATCGTTGCGTGCTATCTTTTCCTTCTGTTGGGCCTTCGCATCTCTGGTGACCTGCCTCCCCCCGCCAGCCGTGCCGGCGTTTTGTAAGTCGCGTTTGCCCTCAAATCAATTATCTGTTCCAGGTACAGACTAATCGAGAAGCGAGAGTGCGGCTGCTTTTGCCCCCGGGATTTAGGGAAACGGACGATCTTCCTCTACCGTTAGTTTTACAAATGTGAGTAACTGTTTTATTTTTTGAAAATATACCGTCCCCGATCACATATGATCTAGCTCGGCCAACTTAACGGTTCCCTGAAAGATATCTCTTAAGCGTCGCTGATTGTTTTCTATACGTATTTCTCTCATACAGTCGGATCGCTATAGTTAATACCAAAAGCAAAGGGAAAATAAAGAAACTGCTCTCTAACGCACGTGTTGTACGTGCGCTTCTGTATTACGATTGGGTTGCAGCGCGGCGGCGCCGGGCGGGCAGCTGGTGACGGAGCGGTGGCGGCCGGGCTGGGGCTGGTACCTGGCGGCGGCGCGCAACTTCATCGTGGCCGAGATCGACGCGCGCGGCTCCGGCGGACAGGTTTGTTACGGCACAGGACACCTTCCGTCTTAGTTCAATGCTACAACTACCTTTTGTACCAGGTGTACAACGTTGTGCGACGAAAATAAGTTGACACGCCTCAATTTGATGTTTCATCTTCTGTCATTATCAATTTGCTTTAGGCGGCTCATGGTTTAAACTTATTTCAACCGAGTGCCTACTGACTTTAGACCTTGTTTTATAAAAAAACTGCTTACTTGACTTTCGCCATACGAGCGATGATTTATCTCAGAATCTTTTAAACACCCGACGGTGCAAGGATAAGATAGGGTAGATGTGTATTTAAAGGATAAAACCTGAAATGCTGTCGCCAAGCTCCTGGAGCTGATAAATATTACTAAAATTTTTTTTATTGTCTTAGTGGTCGTATTCGAGATTAAAATATTTAATATGTAGGTAAATTTATCCTACCTACGTATTACTTAACACGTTTATCTTCCTATCCCCTAGCTTTTTATCCCCTGTGTAATTATCTTCTGTTTTCTAAAAAATCATGTCTTTAACTATCAATAACCGCTTATTAGTTCATCAATATTAAACAAACTGATTGCTACTGGACAGGTTAACGATAATCAAAAAGAAAGGAAGATTATTAAAAATAGTTTATATACCGATTCCAGTTTATTTTTATATATCAAAGAAAACGGGTCGGTTAGAAAATCTTCAATAACTTGAAAACTACCTCACCTAGCTTTATGAAATAAAAACTCAATTAAAGAATATTTAACGTTATTTAACATAGTATATAAAACCTTTTTATTTACTTTAGATAATTGTGTAAGAAAACTGGCAATGAAGATAATGGTTGTTTTTCAATTTAGTTCTAAAAAAATCAAAGCATTTGTTTCGCATTTGTTTTAGTTTTGACATAAAAACTACAATAAATATCGTGTGTTTGTCATACAAAAATTGTATTCTGAAGTCATCATGTCGTTAACCCCTGAAGAATGCACCAGGATCCTGACAATGCTTGAAGATGGGCGCAGTCAGCGCAATACAGCGAGAACTGTTGGTGTGAGTCTTTCCACAGTTCAGCGGGTACTCCAGCGTTTCCATGAAACTGGATCCAACCTAAGAAGACCAGGAACAGGCCGAACGAGGTGCACGACTGCGCGGGAGGATCGCTATATGGTGTCAACAATTTTGAGAAATCGATTTCTTACGGCCGTTGAGGTAAAAAATCACCATTTACGAGCTGGAGGAAACTATCTGAGTACAGATACAGTAAGGCGACGTCTGGCTGAAGCAAATTTGAGACCATTAAGGCCTGCAAATGGCCCAAAATTAGAAAGACACCACTTAAACTCAAGGCTGAGTTATAGCAGAGAACACGAAACTTGGACTCTGGATGACTGGTCAAGAGTTATGTTTTCAGACGAGTCTAGATTCTGTTTATACAAGCACGATGGGAGGAAAAGAGTGTACCGAAGACCGGGAGAGCGCTATAACCAAGCTTGTATAGAAGAAAAAGTACCATATGGCGGTGGCTCTATACACGTGTGGGCTGGGATTTCTTCCGAAAGCCGTACTGAGCTAGTAGTGATAGAAAATGGCAGTTTAACAGCAGAACGATATGTGAATGAAATTCTTAATGACTATGTTGGTCCATTTTTAGTAGATATGGGCGAAAATGCTGTTTTTATGCAAGACAACGCCCGCCCGCATACAGCTCAGATAGTGTTCGACTATTTTCACGAAGTAGGTATCACATGCATGGAGTGGCCAGCACGAAGCCCCGACTTAAACCCCCATCGAACATGCATGGGACGAACTGGGACGACGTGTACGTCAACGGAATCCGCCGCCAATCACGCTGCGTGAATTGAAAGGAGCTTTGATCGAGGAATGGCAGAACATTCCGCAGCATCGCCTTAAAAACCTTGTGGAAGGTATGCCGAATCGCATAGCCGCAGTTTTGCAAGCTCGTGGAGGCAACACGAAATACTAACATGCGTAAAAACGTCACATCTTTATACAATTCATATTTACGAAAATGTCAGAAAAACTACCTTTTTCATTCGTTTGACATTTATTGAAAATAGACAACTTTTAATTTGTATTTTTTTATATTCAATAAATTACAATTAAATAATCTTTAATTTAGTTTTTATTTCATAAAAATAAGTTAAGTAGTTTTCAAGATATTGACGATTTTCTAACCGACCCGTTTTCTTTGTAAAATTGTACTAATATACAAAATTAAATGTAATCCTCATTGGTGTCTTTTTGTGATCAACGCAATTATAATGATCTCCTGCATTTTTGACCCTAGGAATTGTCTAAAGCAACTGTCATTTAAATTTGGATATAAAGTAGTAACTGAAAGTGTACTGAGATATAATATAAAATATAATCCTAATTGGTCTCTTATAATTAATGTAAGAAGAATACTTTCCGCTATTTTTCACAAAATTTGGAATTGTCTAAAGCATGTATCATTTAAACATAATATATTAACTGAAAGCCTTTTAAATTGCAAAATGAAATACAAACTTTATTGGTGTTTTTCTGTAATCAACTTATTCATAATGATCTTAGCAATCTCTTTCAATATTAGCGAATGTATTAAGTACTCGTATGTGTCATCCAAATGTAATGTGATTGCATGTCAAATATTTTTTAAAAATAATGTGGTAACTGAAATCGTAATAAGATACAACATAAAATATAATCCGAATCTGTGTTTTATTGCAACCAACTTAATCATGGTGACATTCACAATTTTTCACGATGCTTGGAAATATCTTAGTTATATATACGTTCAAAATAATATAATTGCATGTAAAGTATTGACAATAAATAATGTATTACCTCAAAATGTAAAATATAAAATTAAACATAATTATAATCTTTTTACTGTCAACATAATTGTAATAGTGAGGCAATTCTGGTATGTAACTAATAAGTCTATATCATATAATGCATGGTTCAACATGTATGATTATCGTAACTTTAATATATTAACACGATTTAAAATAAACAATAAAGATGGCTGAGACAATATCTATTTACTACCAGAACTGCCGAGGCCTTAGAACAAAACTTCACTTACTACACATGAACATACTTACACAAGCATACGACATTATTATCCTAACCGAGACATGGTTGCATGCAGATATTAGTGATAACGAATATATCGATAACCGATATATAGTATTTCGTGCCGACCGGGATCGAGTGACGTCTGATCGCGGCGACGGTGGTGGGGTACTGATCGCGATTCGACGTGAACTTTGCGCTGCCGCCGTCGTCTATGTACCGACCGCTGTGGATACAACCGTCCTACTCCCACCCATTGTTGATCAAATACTCATTGATTTAAAAATAAATAAGTGTTGTTATTGCATAGGTGTAGTTTATATCCCACCTAAACAAAACCATGATATATACTCTAAATATCTCAATATGCTGCAGCACAAACTTCTGGACGAAAGCAACGCATTATCAAATTTTTTCATCGTAGGGGACTTTAATATACCTAGTTTAGAGTGGATAAACAGTAAATCACATACTCAACGTCCTTGTCTGGATGGCCTGAACCAAATCCACATACACGTAAACAATTTTATGGAAGCTTTAAGCTGCCATCAATTAAACACATTTAAAAACCACAATAATCGTATCTTAGATTTGTTTTTCACAAACAAAATCGGCTGTGATATTTACTCAGTTTCGGATCCTTTACTTCCCGTGGACAGACATCATCCTCCTTTTTATGTTCTAATTCCAAAAAAAGATAACGATCAATATATAGAAAGTAAACAATATTTGAAGTACTGTTATAAGAGCGCTGATTATAACAAGATAAATCAAGATATAGCTAAAATTGACTGGAATCACTTGTTTCTACATAAATGTGCTGAGGAAGCCGTATCAACATTTTACACCCTCATTAACACCATCATTAATCACCACGTGCCTAAAAAACTAACTAAAACTTCTTCTTATCCTGCATGGTTTACTCCAACGTTGATTCAATTATATAAAAAGAAAAATAAAGCGTGGATTTTGATGAAAAAATATAAAACTGAATCAAATTATTATGTCTTCTCAATATATAGGAAAAAATTTAAATCTTTATCTGAAATTTGTTATAAAAATTATATACACAAGGTAGAATGTAGTTCGAAGGAAAATATTAAATACTTTTGGAAATATATATCACAACGTCGTAATGCCTGTGACATACCAAGTAACATACATTTTGACAACCTTGTTGCTCGTAGCGCGGAAGAGTCATGTGAACTATTTAAGGCATACTTTCAGTCTGTTTTTCATTCAACGTCTATTCATAATAGCCTCAATTTTAATGAAATCGACTTAACTAATGAATATACAAATAATATTGTGATTCATGACATAAAATTTACCAGGTTTGAAGTGCACAAGGCTTTGAAGGGTTTAGATACTACAAAAGGGGCAGGAACCGATAACATTCCTTCAACATTCTTCAAAGAAACAGCAGATGATATTGATCTCCCCGTATGGCATATATACAATAAGTGCTTGAATGAGGGAGTATTCCCAAATATTTGGAAGAGTGCAAGGATCATCCCTGTACACAAAAATGGGTCAAAGAACGATGTTAAGAATTATCGTCCCATATCTATACTACCAGTCCTCGCTAAAGTATTTGAAAGGCTTGTTCACAATGCTATTTATCCACATCTACACAATATAATTTTAAAAGAGCAGCATGGATTTGTTAAGCGTCGATCGACAATAACTAATCTTTTAAGTTATACTTCGGATCTTTTTAACGCGCTTGACAACAATGAACAAATCGATAGTATCTACACTGACTTCAGAAAAGCGTTTGATGCAGTGGACCACAGAATCTTATTGGAGAAGATAGCTTTTAACGGTATACATGGAAATCTTTGGCGATGGTTCAAATCTTATATATCTAATAGAACACAAAAAGTCGTGATTAAAGGTTCAGAATCACAAGTATCTCATGTTACTTCCGGTGTCCCACAGGGTTCTATACTGGGTCCTCTTCTATTTGTGATCTTCATAAATGATGTAAATAAATGTTTTAAATATAGCAAATTTCTATTATATGCTGATGATCTTAAAATATACCGAAAAATTGAAGAACCACAAGATCGCAATTTGTTACAAGAAGATCTTAACAGATTCAGTGACTACTGTCGTGTTAATAACCTTCAACTCAATATAAACAAATGTAAAATAATAACTTTCACAAAAAAAAAGAAACTAATAAATAATACTTACATTCTTAGTGATCATGAGATCGACAGAGTCAGCATTATTCGGGATCTTGGGGTCACTTGCGACAATAAATTGCATTTTGATATTCATATACAAAACATCATTGCAAAAGCATTCAAGATCTATGGTTTTGTTATGCGAGCAACCACTGAATTTAAAAACCCCCTTACGTCTATATACCTGTTCAAATCCCTTATAAGACCACAGTTGGAGTATGGAGTATCGATTTGGAACCCATTATATGACAAATATAATAATAGTATTGAAATGGTGCAGAAAAAATTTTTGCGACGAATTTCTTATAAATATTTCCGTGGACGCCGGTCTTATGAGTCACTTCTGCAAAAATTCAAACTTTTAGATCTTGGATCCAGACGAGCTCAACTTGATGCCATGTTATTATACGACCTATGCAATAACAAGTACGATAGTATTGATATCATTAATCGTATCATGTATTCGGTACCAACACGCGCACGTATAAGGTCGGTGAGATCTAGATCGCTATTCGCTATTCCTAGTCATCGCACAAACGCTGGTATTCGCTCTCCTTTAAATCGCATAGTTGACACTTATAATAAAAGATTTTGTACAGTAGACATTTTTTCTTCTAGTGTAGGGTCATACAAAAAACAAATAGTTGATATTTTGTTGAAAACTTAAACACTTCATTGATAGTTTTATTTTTGCATTTGCTGACAGTCTCGAATATACACACTCGCATACACACACACACACACACATACACACATACACACATTCACACACATGCCTATACTAGAGATCATATATGCGCACACAAACATGCACTCAATTAAAGAAAAGACACATATAAATATGCACAAATCTCTGTTTCACTGTACATGGATGTAATAGAATTTTTGAATATGATTTGGTTCTATATAAATAGTTTTAATTGTAATTTAAACATAAGTTGTATGAGTCTTGCAAAGAATCTGCATCTTCAGTTTGCACTAGAATACTTGATATTTAAATGTAACCAACGATATTGAGTTTACAATAAGTACAATAGGTCCTAATTTATGTAACTTTTAGCATTAAGTTTATTGTAAACTTGTTTGTGGTTCAATTTTTAAAAAAGTATTTTGATCGAAGTTCGGTGTCACCCTGCGTTCGGTAGATATCTGCGGGACAACCTGAAGATGGTGGACGGCAGCCGCGTGGGCGTGTGGGGGCGCGGGTACGGGGGCGCGGCGGCGGCGGCGGCGGCCGCGTCCGACCCCCGCAACGTCACGCGCTGCCTCGCCGCGCTCGCGCCCCTCGCGGACCTGGCGCACCACAGTCGGTACCGCTACCCTACACCGGGCGACGTTAGGCCCTGCGGATGCGGGTGTTATAATATCGGTTCGACGTCCCGCAGACTCGTACTGGACGGAGCGGTACGGGGGCCGCAGGGCGGGCGCGGGCGCGGGCGCGGTGTGGCGGCGCGCGGGCAACCTGCCCCCGCGGCGGCTGCTGCTGGCGCACGGCACCGCCGACACGCGCGCGCCCGCGCACCACGCCCTGGCCCTCGCGCGCGCGCTCGTGCGCGCCGGCGCCCTCTACACGCACCAGGTACGGACCGCGCGACTGGACGCCCTCCCACCCCGAATATAGATGTCGTCGCCGCAGGTGAAACGGTCGCCGCCGACGTTGAGAACGATGAGGTGCGATTACGTTTGAAAAGGCGCGACCCGAGAAGCCGGGAGCGCCGGTTTCGTCCTAGTGACGCTCGATATTGAGTTTCGCGTTTGAAATCGATCGAAAGACGAACGATCAGAGTGTACGCGAGGGACACGAGCCGCTGAACTATTATTGTTCCTACTATTGTTGGAGGGAAAAAAATCGACCACTATTGGCAGTACTGATTGTCGATTTCACTACGGGCCTCCTTATCTGTCAGCTGTCCCTGTCACTTTGACGTTTAATGAAATGAAATGAAAATATCTTTATTCGAGTAGGCTATTACGAGCACTTTTGAATCGTCCAAAAAATTTTTTCCCCTACCACATGTTCAGAACGTCCTTTAGCTGACAAGAAGAACGAGCGAAAGAAACTTACCAGCTTTTTATCATAAGTCATGTACCAAAATAATATATATTATCACAATAGTAAATACAACTTTCAAAGTCTGTAGGACATAGGTTGAACATATAATTAGTCTTTATAGAACAAAGCGAAGGCTATTAATTCCATGCATTGCGATCCTTAAAATAATCATCAACTTTATAATAGCCTTTACTCATGAGTATATTCTTGACATGAATTTGAAATTTATTTATGGGTAGGTCAATTACATTTTGTGGAACTTAATTGAACATAGCAATACATTTACCCAGATCATTTCTGGGTAAATGTATTGCTCTCTGATTTTTTGAAGTCTGAAGCTTGGAACGGCAAGTTTATTTTTTTCCTTGTATTAAAATTATGAACACTAATTTTTTTGTGAAGGAATCGTAATGTTTTCTTGTGTACATAATATTCTCATAGATGTATTGAGAGGCAACAGTCAGAATATTTATTTCTTTAAATATTTCTCTGAGAGATTCCCTAGACCGTTAATTATATATAGCACGGACAGCTCTCTTTTGTAGAATAAAAATATCCTGAATGCTAGCCGCAGAACCCCACAACAATATACCATACGTCATTACACTATGAAAATAACTAAAATATACCAATCTTGCCGTTTCAACATTTGTCAAGAGTCTAATTTTCTTAACAGCAAAAGCTGCAGAACTCAGTCTACTTGACAAGCTATCAATATGAGGATCCCATTGCAGCCGGGAATCTAGTGTAATACCAAGGAACTTTGTCGATTCTACTAACTCAACTTTTTCACTATTTACATTTATAAGTGTACTGACATGCCTCACATTAGGTAATGCAAACTTTATGCATTTCGTTTTATTTGAATTGAGCTTTAAATTATTATTATCAAACCACTGTAGAACATTGTCGAGAGCATTATTTACATCGTCAAAACAATCATTACCCCTCTCAACTTTAAACAGTAAAGAGGTGTCATCTGCCAATAATACTGTCTCGCACAAATTCTTCGTAAAGTGAGGAAGATCATTAATATAAATAAGAAAGAGCAATGGTCCTAATATCGATCCCTGAGGTACGCCCATAGTAACTGGTGCCCCTGCAGATTTCGAATCAGTTTCGCACCAATATACTATTGGTATTGGAATCGACATGTTAATTTTATCAATTGGATAGTAAAATGTGTCTTTCACTATTGACTATATGATTTGCCGAGAGTCCAAAGCTTTGACTTAACAGGAGTATCGATGGAATCATCGAACTCGCTAGAGTGATAGACACACTGGTTCTATATTATGTACTAATCATTTTTCTGTAACATACTTTGTCACACTAAAGGAAATACCTTAAATTTCAACAGCTTATTTTGCAACCAGGTGTATCCAGACGAGGGTCATGACTTCGAGCGCTCCTCCATGCACCTGCACAGGACGATGGAGCAGTTCTTTGACGAGTGTTTCGGGCCCGTCGAGGTGGCCGACTGGGACGCGGGGGGCATGGGAGGATTGTTCCCCTTCAGGGACTAGGGGGAGGAGGGATGCCCTTGCGACGACATTTAACATCTCTTCTAGGGTCATTAACAGTAAATAGCCTTCAAAATCCGGTCCCTTCAAAATAAGATAAAACCCATTAAACCAATTCGAGATAATAAAATTAACGCCGCTTTGCCGAAAATATAGGTTGTCGTCGATAAAATATAAATGACAAACAAAATTCGATAAAAAATACTTAAACGAACATAGAGTGAAGCGGTGCGACGTCGCGCCACACTTGTATCGTATTTAAGATAAAAGACGCCTCGTGTTCTATTAAACAGGTGAAACATCATGTATTAGTTCTAAATAATTTGGGATCATTCGAGTTAAATTTAACGGTTCATTCGAAGTACGATTATGGTTTTTAATACTTCGAATGCAGTTAAGTGGCATAGAACCTTACCTTACCTAGGTTGGTATGAATAGCTAATGTAGAATGTTATTAAAAAAATATTTTCAAAAATTGTTCTGATAAAATTAATTTATTTAAAAAAATTTCTGTGATTAGAAAATATTTTAACTGAAATTCTTATTCTGGGGCTGATCTCGAAAACTTTGAACATTTGTGCATTCCGAAAAAATATCTTTTTGAGGTAGAAAAAAATTGATGCCGATTAGATGCCAGCTCTAATATTGTAAGACCTGGATGTACAATTGACTGCATGTCAGACTATACATGACTGTACATTACTCAGGTTCGCAATATGTGAAAATTTCTGCATTAAATGGTGATCTCTACTCTCAGTCCAGTAAGGTTAAAAATCGAGTGGAGAATGTTAAACAGTTTTGTATAATCGCACGTGCTGCACATATATTATTTATGATAACCAATCGTTAAAAGCAAACTAATTCCAGGGTCATATACCTACTTTTTATTATTTAGTTAGATATGACATACATTAAAATTTTATAAATGTATGTTCGTTATTTACCTCGAAATGGATATTACATCTTATCAGACAGATACTTTAATATTATAACAAATATAATTGGACAATAACCACAGTATTATTTTAGAACCTGTCTACAGTGGAAGCGTAGTAAAACCGACAAACATAAAGACGTGCTACCCCTTTGTTTTTCATATAGGCCGTTCAGTTTTCAATGTAAAATTTTTACATGTTGATGATAAAAATATTTCTGTCTTATTCGTAAAGCTTTTAAAATCGTTGTTTAAATATACGATTATATCAACAAAATATCAATATATCTTCATATCGATGATATGTAAGATACGATTTCATTCCGGTTAATAAAAAGAGTCGTAGATTATATTATAAAATGAATTGGTAAAGTACGCCAAATATTTTCTTCCAAAACGTTAATGGGCGATTTTATTTATAGATTTAATAATGTTATAACTGCGGTGATTTTAGTAAGGAAATGACAAAAATTATCTTAGGTGATTTGATTGTTTAAAAACCGGAAGTGGGTCAAGAGATTATTACTGATAAGCATAGTTAAGAACCTACATAACTGAAAAAATAACCGTTTTAAATTCTCATAAAAATCATTAATAAATGGTTTATTTGAATGCGGCTTAAAATAAAAAATGGAATTAGCCATTTACATATTATTGATATTAGCCTCTACTAGGAAAAATATATAATCTGAAAATGGTGCGTAAAATATAGTATAAAATACAGATTATACATATTCAAATAAGCCTAAATACATCTTTAGAAGGATTATCAATTGAAAACAATATAAAAGATGACCTTTAAAATGTATTTTTAATAGTTGTACGTGTTGTAGTGTTTCATTCAGCGATATCATGGAGAGAGAACAATTTATAATGTTAAAAAATCTAAATTCCAATAAAAATCAACGAAAATTTGGTATGTTATCTAATAATAAGTCATCTATAAGATGACATACCAGACAACTACTAAAATTAAACAAAAAGTCTTGTTTCTGAATTTTGTGATTGGTTTATCCAAAACTGTTATAGGTACTTAGGTTTAGCCAAAAATATATACCTAGTTCATAAATTGTTCACTTGTCCAAGATACAATGAAGGGGTTAGCCACCCCCGATTTTCTTATGATTATTATAAGAGAAATAAAAATCTATATTTTAGTGCTTAATGTATCGACAATCTTTATCTGTATATTTACATGTCGCTTTTAATGTTATCTCTATAAACGGTAGCTTTAATATAGTTGTTATTGTACAATCATTATGTTTAACCACAGTATGTTGAAGGTGAAATAAATTACATTGCAACTTACATATATTTTCCGCTTGATACACAAACCACACCCCTTCTATTGATTAATTCTGATCGCTTTCTGTCAATTTCTTGCTTTAATCTCATCAGTTGTTCACAGTAGAGTTCAGAATCAATGGTCCTGCCTGGTGGTAAAAGCTCATAATGAATAATGCCCTTCCAATCCCAACATACACACAGCATCACCTTCTTGTGAGTCAACCCGGGCTTCGCCACAGTCTGTGAAGCCTGATCGACTTTCGCACGTTCTTGTCATACGTGATCTAATTTTCTTCACCAGTTTTCAGCTTCTTCATAATAGTTCAGTTTCATTACGCCGTTATAAAGAATCATAAATTATTTATTACGGCGTTCAGTTCATTAGGTTTCTTTCAGTGAGCTCGTGAGGTACCCAAATATCCAACTTTTTTGTGTATCCAGCTTTGTTTAAATACACCAAAACCATTTTGTGTTCAATCTCTAGATCTTCAGCTACGTCGTAACTACTGCTGAATTAAACAAAATACACTTTAATACTCATAGTTGATCAAATTTGCATTCACGACGGTATGCTGGAACATATTCTTGATAAAAATACTTAAAGAATCTACTTTCTCCATGGTATTCTGAGATGGGATTCGAACCCACGACCTTTGCAATCCTGGCGCCTGTTAGGTACTTGAAAAAGTCGCAGTTTTGTTAGATCCTGGGTAGCTCAGTGGTTAGAGCAGTCGCTCGGAATGCGAAATGTCGTGGGGTTGATTCCCATCTCAGAGTACCAGGGACAAAATGGATCAAGCATTTTTCGTAAAGAATATACATAAATAACTTAATTCATGTCGTATTTAAGATGATTCCTTAGAGAACTCTCTAACTACATTATTCAACCGAAAAGCATTGCCCTAAAACTTCTAAAAAATAGCTTATACCACTTCCTGTTACAAGCGACGAAATATAAAAATTGCAACTTTTATCAAATTAATTTAATGTCGCAGGTGATTTTAAAGCTGTTAAAATTTACCATACTGTGGTTTTTTTTATCTAATGTCAAATAGGGAAATCCTTTAATTATATTTTAGTCTAGTTTTGTTTCTAAGTTATTTTATTACGTCGTCTAGTCTCTTATATCTAGTCTATGATATTAGTCTAGTATTTGAAACTTAGACTATAGGTATTGTCATCCCGAGATATAGGTAGTCTAAGGTTTAAAGTTTTACCTTCTTTCATTGCTACTTTCTCTCTTAAGAAATTGATTATGAAAATAGTAGCTTTTGGTACGCCGCAAACTTGGCTTATATATATATGACATTCCTTAGGTGCAAACTAATTACTGTCGATGACTAGATACATGAAATTAAATTAAATTTAACTATCTGGGTCATTGTTTTTGAGCCTCTATAATTTCAAACTTAGCTGTACGCTGTCCGCTTAGTTGACTACGAATAATTTTGTTGACGCTATATGTAGTTAATTGAGGTGAACACACAAGAAAATAAAAGAAATGTAAGTAGGTACGTTGCAGACGCTTGACCTCAAAAGCATAAACATGACTAAATAAGAATGTGTATTGCACGGCTACTGTACTTACTTCATAACCAAAAACATAATAACGAAGTATTGCAACTATATATTATACAAATAACTTACCTAATATCTTATGTATTGCCACCTTATAAAGGATTTACAATAGCTATGACGACTGAAAAAATAAAGAAATAAATTCCATTTATTCAGTCAGTCAGATAAAAGAAAAATATTAGATACGTAATTTTTACTAATATAATAGCTAGAAATAGCTTAGATAACAAGCATTAGAGTTGAGGAGTGGGGGCTCGCAGCGTCACAGTTTTGTAGAAAATGTACCAAATCGTGACATTTTAATTCAATGTATCGCCGTAATTTAATGGTTACGCAAAAAATATGTGTTAATATTTTTCAACAGTCAACTGACGGACGAATAAACGAAAATTAGTCGTCATCTCTACTGTAGCGGTCAAAAACCATTAAACCTTATTAGGCGACTTAATTATTAGTTCTAAGAGGTAGAACGGGGTTAAACTAGTAAATGTCTTGCAACTTCCAAAAATCTTAATGAATTAAGTGCCATACAGCAAATAATAAATATACCACTTCATTCCCCTGTAACTCGACCAAACTAGGAATTTCGACGTGATAGGTTGAAAAATTATGATCGTGATACGAAATAGAAGACATTTACTAAATAACCTTGACTTCGAAACTATATATTTAAAATCCTCAAAAAGTAAAAAACACTGACTTAGCAGAGTTTTGCAGTAAAGGGCTGTCTCTCACATTATACGGTTCTATCGTCAAACATAATTTATTTTATCGAACACTATTACTTTTTGCAATTTCCTGACTTGTGCTAGAAAAAAAAATGTTTGGTTGATATTGAGATTTTAAAATATTGAAATTGTGATAGATGGTTTATTTGAATATCATTTTATATATAAAACATATTTTACTGTAATAAATAGGTAACGTAACCTTATTGGATTATTGGATGCATGTTAACATGAAAATTATTTAATGTAGGTTATTCCTACATTGACCATCAATATTTTTGTAATAATTAATAAGTGTTTTTCAAAGAAAAAAATCACATAAATAAGTCACAAATTATATATACATATATTATCAGCAAGAAAATAATAAAAGCAAATTTTTCTACAAAAAGAATCGTCGTCATATTAAGCTTTATCTCGAGTATATCTGGATTTGAAAGAAATTATTATAATAATAGTTTAATGGCAATGAGTTTACATTTGTGACTTATTTATGCAATAAATAAATATTGAAAAATATATAAATGTATGTAGATAATCCGTTCATATAATTCCCGATTATAAGATGTTTTA